TTTTCGGTGCCTTGTACAAAAATCCCCTTTTACCCTCCGCGAAATTCGTTTTTGACGGTGTCCAGATAAGGAAATCGGTCAGCAGACTCAATTCGCTCTTCCTGGAGTATCAGAGGAACACTCAGTGGTGCTCCTCAGCTATCAGTGTCATCCACATATCGGACAATAACTCCTTTGGGATAGGGCCGTTTCAATGCAATCCTTCGATCGTTCTCTATCCTGAAGAAGTTCTCAGTAAACTGGATTCAACCATAGTCACTCACAGCTATTGTCTGTGTACTCACAGCACAATCAAACGTTCTTGACAATGTCGGCTTGCGTTGAAAAACATCACAGTCTATTCTGATGTATGTAATTGAGGTTAGTTAGCCTGTCAGCTGATTGACATTAGGTTGACTACACAGATTACATCAGCTGACTCTCTTGAATGCTGCAGTACTTGTCAGTACTTGTCAGTACGAAACTGAGAAGCTTTGGAGTCAACATTTCTTAGCTTTTCCTATCTTGATTGATTGTTTCCCCTGTGTGTTAATGAAACGCGGCAACAGCGGATTGCATGTCTCACAGGTTTCTGAAACGCTGCGTGATTTCCAAATCTGGAGGCTATCCAAACCTGTCAAACACCTGTGTGGAACAGAATTTTTGAGTAACGAATAAATGCTATTTTGCTCTATACAGGCTGCGCACTCCATTTCGCTACGGTACATGGTCTGTTCAAATAGGTCACTGTTGGCTTACCAACTTTCCTTGGGCGTGGCACATGACGGACGGACCAGATGTCCGGTAATCAGGTTTTCTTGGGTGTGCATGACGTCACAGCCCCGGAGTCCTCTGTACCAATCAGATTGTGCCAGGTGTTGTGCACCAGACTAGATGGAGCTGTTAAGTTCCGTTTCGAACAGCTATCGGCCGACTATTTCTTAACTAGATAAGATAAAAGATAGCCAGTCAGCTGTAACACCCTTTCGGTGCCTAACTGCCATGCCACGAGAAGGAAGCACGAGGGCTGGGATACTGCCAGGTTGCCCAAGCCTAGACAAGCGAAGTCGAGATGCAGAGGTCGGGTTCGAACCACGGACCTTCCGGTCAGTAAATTCGCGCTCTAACCACGTGAGCCATCTCGCCCCCTTCCTAACTAGACTAGTGGTTAAAAGAACTCGCGATAGCTGAGTGATTAAGGCGCCGACTTACTGATCGGAAGGTCGGTGGCTCGAACCCAACTTCAGCATCTCGGCTACTCCTAATTAGGGCTTGGGCAGTGCCTCAGCCCTCGTGTCTCGTTCCACTGGTTTGGCAGCTAGGCACCGGAAGCTGAGCGGTTTACTGGTTGAGATCTGTCTCAAAATCCAGCGAGATGACCCAAGTGGTAAGAGCGCGAATTTACTGACCGGAAGGTCCGTGGTTCGAATCCCATCTCCGCCTCTGGACTTCCCCTGTCTAGGCTTGGGCAACCTGGCAGTATCCCAGCCCTCGTGCCTTCCTCATGCGGCATGGCAGCTAGGCACCGAACGGGTGCTACAACTGAACGCTTTTTTTTCTGAACGCAAAATCCACCGGAAAGCTGTTAATGAAAAGCCCGGCCGTATGCATATTTTGAAAAATTGGCACTGCAAATGGCCAGTGTTTATGCTCAAACGTTAACGAAAAACAGTTTGATCTGTGACTTTGACCTAAGTTCGTTTACTAGACAAATCGAACTGCACCGGGCTCAAGTTATTTGAAACAAGCCAGTACGTGACAAGTGATTGTCATTTTGTGATCGAACGCAGCTTATGATTTACTCAATCCGTCCAAAGATAATTGACTGATCTCTTCAATAATCATGTGTCATTCGCCAGAAAACTCAAAGTTGTGCGCCTTGGCAAGACAGGACACGGTAACCGAAAGATTGCGGTTGCATACGCATCATCAGCAGTGTTTAGTTCACAAAACCCTTAGAGTTCCGAACTCGCGCGACCTTCTGGCCAGTGGTCGAACACTTAACCGTTTGGGGCGAGATGACTCAGTGGTTAGAGCGCGAATTTACTGACCGAAAGGTCCATGGTTTGAACCCGACCTCTGCCTCTCGACTTTCCCTGTCTAGGCTTGGGTAAGCTGGCAATAACCCAGCCCTCGTGCTTCCTTCGGGTAGCATGGCAGCTAGGCACCGGATGGGCGTTACGGCTGAGTGACTGTCAGGTTGGGCGCTTACGTCTGGCTCGTGTTAGGTGACGCCTGCACAGAACGATTTGGCGTTCACTCTGCTTGATGGCCTCTTACTTTAACACACTATTCTGATGTGTCTTTCTCACTGTTTTTGGAAGGTCTGGGCATCTTGCTGCTAGTTGCTTCCTCAACTCGTCATTTTATTCGCCACTTCGCCTCGGTCTGTCACTTTGCCTCGGTGTCGGACACCAACTAACACATTCGAACTTGAGACATCTGTAATTCACTAGCTTTTGTCACTCGTAATGCCTCTTTTTGTGATTCCAGTCCCGGAAAGACAAACTACACGAAGAAAACGATTTATCCGCTTCTACGGGAGTGGCCTTTTTTTGAGGATATTGCAGGCTAGATCGTGACTGATGGGAACGCTGTTATTCACCTTGCATGAGGGGAGTCTGTAGAAGACACTATTGATAAGTCTAGCATCAAGTTGGGGCGATATGGCTCAAGTGGTTAGAACCCGACCTCTGCCTCTCGACTTCCCCTGTCTAGGCTCGGGCTACCTGGCAGTATCCCAGCCCTCGTGCGGCATGGCAGCTAGGTACCAAAAGCATCAAGTTCTGCCACTCGGACGCTCACCTAATCAACGTTATACACTAACCAGTTTCACTTGGACGTGGCCTAGGTTTATGCGTAGGGACGATATGTATAGGCTCGTAGCTGACTTTTGTCCTATCGGGACCGTTTCTAAGAAATCTGTAAATTATGTTATGACCTTAGCGCTTGCACGACTTGACTACAAATTGGTTATGCTCATTTCGGTTTTTGTTGAATTTCTGTATATTTGTAAATGATAACACTAGTTAAATTGAAACGGAGCTCGACAGGTACGGCATTCAGATTCCCTTAAGATTTGTGGCGTTGAAGGTCGTCTCTAGTACATAAGCACCAAAGCTGTCTACCAGTATAATGTAAGTTTAGGTAGACTGAACTTTCGTGTGGGAGCTTGAGCTGGCATCCCATTGTGAACCCGATGGGCCACGAAAGTTTCGCTGTTTTTCTATTTTGCAGGCCAAAATGCACCTCAAAAAGTAATGTTAAAAACGTTCGACTGTAATGCCTTCAATGCATTGCTTCTGTTCAGTCTGAAAGAAGCACGAGGACCGGACCTGTTTCCGAAGCCCAAACGGATGCGTTTAGAATCCAGGATGGGTTTCACACCATCAAGCTTCCTTTAAATAGCGGTCCGAAGCGCACCTAACCAGTAGCTCATCTGATCTTCTAATATCTGGTTACCAGTCACATCCTCATCTTGCCGTGCCTAAAATCAGAAACACGGTTGAGATGCCGATAGTATCGGGCTGTATTACTGAGCCCCCTGCTTCCCACACTCCAGTAAGCTGTCATCGTTTTCCCTCACTGCCACGCCAGGTGTTCCCACAAATTGACTGAGGCGTTCGTGTGCATAGTTCAGTCAAGTTTTATCACCTGTTGCGCATGGAATTCTTTCGGTATCAGAACCACCCAAGGACATTAATATCCGATTTTACGTGGTGTCATTGCTCGAGCAGTTACAACCTCTTAGGCCTAGCATTACTCTACAACGTGTACACATGACCTGATATGGTTACACAGTGTGGCAGGGAATGAGAACCACGCAGTAAAGGCGATATCTTCGATGCAAGACCGCCATTGGCTCTATCTCATAGCCGTCTCTGTCAGGTGCACTAACAATTGGTTTGTCTGATCCGACTGCCTCGGGAAGACAGCGCTCATCAACGCTTCTAGATTGACCGGTAAGGGCTTTCACGCTTCGTCACCAGGTCGTGAACTGACCGCTCCTGGGTTATCTCCATCCTACACAAAGCTGAGCGAATAGGGCCTAAGGAGGTAAACGGTTCTGGCACAAGCCTAACATGCCGTAACCAGCCTAACCTGTGTAGTGGGAACAGCTGATCTTTTTCCGGCAACCATCTGGCGTGCCTGAACATTACTCATCTGATGTTCACACCAGACCTACACAATGGTTTGGAGCACACACAGATTCTTCAGCGATCTTCCTCACATAGGGGCCACATCTCTGATTCATAAGTCAAGACACGGTACCCTTTACAGGCAAGTTGATATCACTTTGGCGCCACAAATGTCGTAGATTGGGCAAACGTTATCTGGCCTTCTCAGTTCGCAAAGTGACTTCATCAAATTGGCAACAAGCCTATAGTTAACCTGGTGATCCCCGTTATTACGGGTCCATCTCCCAAGACATCCAACTTTAGCCATCAGTTAGCCTTTCGTTGTAAGTTTGCCTTAGACTCTTGAAAATCTGCAGGACTAAACTTCTTGCCTGGAAACCACTGGTCGACAGACCCTGTCAAACTTGCGGGCGAGGTTCACTTAGTTGCCCATGGTGACCAACCATCTACTAAAACCCGAACCTTTTCACTTACGTTTGCTATCCAATTCTATCGGTTTTGTTATTCGTCGACCACCGTTCAGACAGATTGCCATACTCTTGGTGATGTGTGGTCTTGCCATCTCACATTCAGAAAAATTTCCTGGGAATGTCATCAAGCACACACCACTGATGATATATCGATCAGTTTGAACTACTTGAAGAGTCTCATGATAACCTAGCAAACATACTTAGGATGGAATTCGTTTAACCAGTTTGCCTGTCATTCATTCCGTGTTCATCTACGAACCTGGGTGGCTTTCTCCTGCGTTGTTGTAAGGGTGCGAGTTTCATTTGAAGCACGATCCACTTTTATACACCTGTAAGTATGATTCCGGTGAAGTAGCATTGACGACATCAGGTACGTCGATGGAAGCACGTCCAATGCTACACGGAGACAGTACTCCATTATCCCAATCCGTTTTGTCTCTTGATACTACTGAGCCATCTCTTTTCAGTAGTCTGTGTGATAGCCGTGTTGGAGAAGAACCGTGGGCGGATATTGAACTCGTCAGTCTCACAGGGCATCGGGAGGCACGCATACCTCGCTATCGTCTTCGTGTCGATCCGTGTACAGCCTTCTTAGGTTACAAACATAAGGATTTCTCGGGGGCCAGGCGAGCTACTCGGGGATCCCGCGTCAGTCAGTCGGTCCCCAGGTCACCCTCTGAATTGACCACTGTACCGGACACAGATAGCATCGCAGAGGACCACCTCAACGAGGACTGTGAAACGTCAGATGACGAAACGTCAAGTTTGACTGTGGAACAAATTGAACACACTCTGGACTATTTTCGTGAGTTGTTTTTGCCGCTGAATTTTGCCTTGTCGTCGTTCCTACGACTGTGCACGCGTTGTCCAGTGTTAGTTCTTTTGACGGATGCACCTTGATACTAAATGGTATTTCATACATGTGTTCATTGTTCATATCGGTTCCTGTCTCGGTGACTAAGTGGCGCCCCTATGTTTCTGGCTGTGGTACTAGTGTATCCTACAATTACCTCTGTCATCACTTACTTGCTTGTCAATTGTTCGGTTTCTATGCCACGCCTGGAGTCAAAGTTTCAACCACAGCATATCTGCGTTCCAATGGAATGGATGAAGACAATACAATGCTTCTTTGGAATATTCTTAATTCATTCTAAGGCTTGTTCAACTTGCTGTCCTTTGATGAGTGTCAGGATATTGGGGTTTGCTGACTGGGAGGGACCGATAAAAAATAAATAAAATCGTTCAGATGTAACACCCTTCCGTTGTCTAGCTGCCATGCCACACGAAGGACGCACGAGGGCTGGGATACTGCCAGGTCGCCCAAGCCTAGACAGGGGAAGTTGGGAGGCAGAGGTCGGGTTCGAACCACGAACCTTCCTGGTCAGTAAATTCGCGCTCTAACCACTCGGACCATGCGTCGAGGATAGAACTGTATGATGATGACCGAACTGAATATCACGATTACCCACAGACTCACTTAGTGCGTGCGTGTGTGGCTTTGTTTTCACCTTGATTGTCTGACCCGAGGCAGGAATTGACAGCTCAGTACAGTTCAAAGTAGAGTTTCTCGGTGCGCTCTTTTAATGCTCTTCCTGAAGTCGGGTTGCTGGAACAGTGGATGGTGGTTTGGTTGGCCGAATTGATGCGGTCGAAGACTATCATTTCAACAGTTCGGGTTTTAACCCCATTACTCTTTTCTTCACAATAAGGTTTTCAAATAAATCATGGTTGTACGGCAGTGAAGCATCGCTTTTGTACACTGATATCATGCTATCGATGCTAATGCTGATGATGAACGCCTTCAAACTGACAACCGGTCCTTCTGTTGTTTTGTTTCCGAAACAATCACATGTCACAAATGACTCCCAAAGGCTAGTGGCATTCTGATTACTCTTCAAGACCGACTGCTATTCATTAGAAGTCCCTCAGTGAAGCGAATCCCATGTACTCTGTGTTAGTAACGAGGTAATTAGAAAACGGGTATTTGGTTGTGCTGAAGGTACCTCGATCCGAGAAACCATCCAGCATCATCGACTACGATGGCTCGGTCATGCGCTACGCATGCCAAAACAGCGTCTACCCAGACGAGTGTTGTTCTCCGTGCCTCTTTCAGGGTGGTGCAAACTGCGAGGTTGACAACATATGACTTGACAGAAAGATGTGTAAGAGATCACGAAGGGTTTGGGTTTTGTTGGTGTTGTACGCCTTCCAGGTTGGGGTCCCCGTGACCCCGTCTGTGCTTGGCTCGAGACGTTGCAAGAAATGGCGGCTAATCGATGTCAGTGGCGTCCGTGCTGTCAGTTTCTTTGCAGATTGTCTGATTGAGCGGTTGGAGGTGTAGGCACCTCAGTATGCTTGACATAGGCCAGCACTAGGTCCCCTCACTCAATCTTTTCCTCTTCTCCTCACTGTAGGGCTTTTAATATATATATATATATATATATATAACTAGACGAACCTTATGGTTGTACGGTGGTGAAGCATCAGTGCCAACACTAATGTTGCTGTCTTTGATGATGATGATGACTACTAAGATCCTTTTACAATGGAATTCGGGACAACCTTTATCGTGTGCCTCTTTTTTACCGAATTTCTCTACTTGGAGGAAATAAGCCCCATAAAGTCAGGGTTGTTTCATTTTTGAGTAGGCAGCACAGTGACAATGCCGTTTGCCACTGACGATTGACGTTTCAACGGAAGTCTAGCGGGGACTCAACGTGAAGTTGGCATGTTCGTATTGGAGGATCTCTGATCCAAAGTTTTGTTGCTCAGCCTGGGGTTGTGCCAATGAGTAAGCACCACGGTTCGATGCAAGATACCCAAAAGGTGTATCCTCCTTGGGGAGCAGATAAATAACGACAAAAAATGGGTCCAGATGACATCATTTTTTAAGCATGTAGAGGTCGAAATGAACTATATTTTTGGCGGGAAATCTCAACGTTACCGAGTTTGTCCTCATGTTCCTTTCTCTCCACTTCGGATTTCTGTGTTGATGAAATTGCTCATCAAGTCTCTGTGGCTTGTTGAATCGTTTTTTGTACTCTTAGCTTGGACAAAAGCGTGTGTAGTTATGCAGTGCAGTGGGTTGTTCGATTCTCTGAATGCGTACTATTTCGAACAATGCTTGTCAACTTCTCTGCCACTCGTACTCTAATCGACTTGTTTTGTCGGGGGGGGGGTGTTGAATGACCTGGTTTCCAACAATTTCTCTCAGACTACTGCCGTCATAAATGTTCGCTAGTATTTCAGTCAGTGACATGGTTACGTGACACCCATAGTAACCAACTCTTGGATGGTGTACTAAACAAGTTGACTTTTGCGTCCCTCAGTGCCACCATATCGATGAGTAGATCCCCTAATGTTTGGTTGGATAACTACCGCTGGTCAAATCGCCAATCGGCTGATCCGCTACCTGAAATGCCGCTGTTTCCACCTACTTCTTTTCTGAGATTCTTCTAGCAGTGGCCAGACTAAGTGGTTTTTTTAGTCTTCTCAGCTTAGTTCTATATGATCTACCTGCCTCATTTAAATTTATCGTCCATCCACACCCAATTTGACGAGTACAGTTGGGGGGTGACTATTGCTTTTACATTTATTTCCATATATTACTGACTACTTTTTCCGAATGAGTAGGCACAATGTGTCACTGATGATCGGCACGAACTGGTGTCATCCAAAGAAGTGGGAAAACTGCCCAAATTCTGAGCTCACTCAGATGGTGTGACATACGCGAAAATAAGAAATTAGCTTCTCCGACCTTCGCCGAAACCTCTGTTCTTCTCCTAAACTGCGTTCAATCTACCGTGTCACAGTGCGCTATATACACAAAAATCACACTTGTCCTTCGGTGCCCCGGGGCGCTTCACGCACACACTGTCTTATGTAGAAATCACACGTTTGAATTGAGTGAACAAAGTATTTGACTCATGTATTCTGCGGGACTTAAATCGAAACAATGGGTTCCTTCTCACCTAAGTTGTGCGTATGCACTTCACAAATGTACGGCTTCCGTACAACCCATCTGAAACAGGAGGCGTGGAACAGAATACTTTTAGAACTTGAAATGAGCCCCTTCTCGGTTTTTATTTCTGAAACCGGTTGAAATAGCGAACTCTCCATTCAAATTAAACACAATTAAGTTTAAGCTGTGACTTTGCGTTCCAATTTCACGTGTCCTGAGACAAACATTTGTCGATGTGAACATCGATGCTCTTGAGTAGCTCGTCTCCGGATAATTGGTCTCTCATCCAGTTATTTCATGGCCCTCAGTAAGCATAAGGTGATAGAGAATGAAGGTTAACCCTGTATGAGAAGCAACGTGCCAAATAACTATTTCACGTGATCGAACATAATGGTGCAAGTCGCGAGGTCTCCGAGCATAAGCGAACAATATGACGTGCGTAGAATGACGCGCTTTTTGCTTAAACCCGTAAATTTACGCACACTAAGCGGAGTACGTCGATTCCGTGAAGGCACCCGATGGTCTAGATGTTTCAAACAAACGTAGGGTTTGTGATGGAATCCGCGGGAAATATTTGCGGCCCTCGGAAGTTCGTGAATCTTCCGCTGCGCACTGCCAAAAAGAGTACACGTTATTGCGCAAATGCAAAAGTACACTTCACGTGATAAGGAATGTGAAATTATAGTTTTTTTTAACTCGGCTCTTTTTCACACGTTTGTACATGTGCGACCTCTTCAATTCGTTGTAACCTCAAGGAGTTAATGGTTCGTCTGCGTGTCTTCAGTTGTTCTACCTATGAGACTCTTACTCATCGACAGGTGATCATCATCATCATCGATAGCGTGACATCAGTGTTCAACACCGATGCCTCGCTGCCGTACAACCATGATTTAGACGTGGGCGTCATGGTTGTACATGGGCTGGGATACTGTCAGGCCGCCCACATCTGGACAGGAGGACGATTAGGGTCCTCAACCAAAGCCTTTGGCTCAAAAGTCTAACTGTGGTTTTTTTTGTAAGGAAAGACCTTGAAGATGGACTACTTGGTTTAGATTCCGTTGGGGTGCGAGCCGCAATCATTCAGCTGTAACAGGCTTCCGGTGTCTAGCTACCCGGAGGGGGTACGAGGGATGGGAATTGCCATGTTACCCAAGCCTAGACGGGGTAAGTCTAGAGGCAGAATCGGGTTCGAACCACGGACTTTCTGGTCAGTAAGTTCGCGCTCTAACCACCGAGCCATCTCGTGGTCTCTGGACGTCGGAAGAGTGGTTGTCACGCACTATTAATTAAAACTGAGCTGGGAACGAAAGAATTGTTTTGAGCCGTTGATACCCTCATGAACGATTGAGGTCTTCTTTGCATTACTCGGCGAAATTGTTGTGTTGCCTGATAGGTTTGAGTCTGATGTATACACTATCCGAGTCTGGATGCATGAGTTAGTCGGCTTGCGCTCTCCAGCTTAATCCTCCCTAACCCCATTGCTCCATTTTCACTTCTCTGATTTCTTTTACAACTTGCCTGTGCAGCTAAATACTGGCATAATCCAGTTGCTTACAGACGGTTCAACGCTGAACAGGATGACAATACTGATTGCTATCATCAATGCCATGAATAATACTGTAATCTGCAAACCGATGCTCAACTGTATGAGATTCCAGTCATTAAGTTTGGTTGGGAACCGATCCTTTCTTTGGCCTCTTTTACTCCGTAGGGAGTTAACAACCCACCAGTTTTTTGCCAGTAAGTACCAAGCAAACTTTGCTCAACCATCAATCTTATGTTTTTGTCGAATCTAGTGCTGATCTGTTCAGACTCCCAGTTGTTTCATTCTGCTAGTCTTAAAT